GTTGACCCATGACTGGCACTTTTCCCACACAACTTCCTGGCCAAACTGGATTCACGGGGACATACAGTCTTAGACAAGGTGATATCACATGGTATACCCTCTAACATAGATGTGGACATGGTATTCACCATAGCTGCCATAGCTGATTGCCTATAACACAACTTGAGATATGGTGAATTCTATGGTGAATTCCACATCTTTCTTCGTTTCAAACGGAGCCAGCCTTGCTTGGATCATCGGTGGTGGGTTCATCGGTTGAGCCCCGGCGAAACGACAACGAGGCACATGGGGAACATCGAGAAAGCCTTTGACGATGGGATGGATCTCCAGATCTCGTTGCATGGCGGCAGAAAAGGCGGAGAAAACTGGCACAAGATCTGGGTCAATGGGGAATTTCCATAGTTTACCATAGTACAGGATCATAGTACCATAGTTACCATAGTTTTCTTGGGTGGTAAACTAACATTCATAGTTTTCTTGGAATTTCAGGATCCTAAAATGGAGGTACTGTACCATATAAGGCCATATTTTGTGGGGATATTCCCTTAGATAGGCCTTATATAGGCCTTATATATCTTATATATGATGGGAGATCTTCAGGATCCGATTCAATGGAGGTACGTAAACGTACCATATTTTTAAGGCCATATGAATTGTGGGGATATTCCCTGAAATTTCGGCCTAAGAAATAGGCCTGACAATATGGTAGGTACCTCCGGTTTAGGTTCCTGAAATGGCCATTGATATAGGGCAAATGTCAAGATGGGGAAACTCGTGTTTTTTTTTTTTTCGGGACCATTTTGTTCATGAAACCATTCGGAGGTTTCCTGTTAAAATGGGGCTACCCCCAAAATCATCCAAGTCATTACACCTTTCCAGTATTGAAACCTACAGTGACCTTGGGGATCCTTCATTTAAATGGGTCCAATTCCCTGAAGTTTTGCCAAGCGACTTCCCAAGTCACTTGAAAGACAACCCTTCAGAGCATACCAGATATGCACCATACTTAGACTTTTCTATCCTTCATATACTGGTTGGTGGTTTGGAACATTTTTTATTTTCCCATAATATATGGGATAATCATCCCAACTGACCAATATTTTTCAAGATGGTCAAAACCACCAACCAGGAATCATAGGACTTCTGGGTTTCTTCGAAAACAGGGCAGCGCCAATTCATTTCAGCCCCCTGAGATTTTCCATCTTGATGGCCCGAAATTTGGGTTATATGCAGTATACCGATACCTCCATTGAGAACGCCATATTGGGAAAACCATTTATAATCATCACTTGGATATCTTGGATAATCCTCGGGTCAGTAAGATGGACATCTTGTGTGGCCCTCCGTTTTTTGGAACGGTCCCCCTGGAGTCAAAAAAACCCAAGGGAATGCCTTCAAACTTCAAAGGTTGAAGCACAACTGTGTCTGAAAATGGGGTATACGGTAGGTCTCAGAAACAACATGAAACAACTATTGAAATTAGGAGAATCATGATCAACCACTGCCCAACCAAACCCCAGAAATGATGATTCATACAGCAGAATAATTTGTTTGATTGACCTGCAGACTCCCAGCATTGCTACTGCCAATCAACACCTATCACTTGTCATGGCCTTGTCTGAAAATGAGCTACCCCCAAAAGCCAACAGATTTCATCATCCATGCTCCCCTATTTTCACCATTTCAACGGACATGAACACAGCTGATACCCGATTTTTGCTGACAAGACCAGCGACCCAACATGAGCCAGCCCCCGAAAACGGCCATGAAGCCGTTTTCGGGTTTTCGTTTCCAATATTTTTTCTCTATTTTTTCCATGATGAGCTCGGTTTGAGGTCGTATTGGTCTTCAGGAACCAATCCAAAGTTGCGCTTGAAAGATGGGATAAACCCGTCGGAAACTGAGCGGTCTCGGTGACCCGAATCCCAGCTTGTCATCCGAAATGTCCAAAGGGGTTGTGACCATTTTGATCGGCTGTGGTCGTTGGACACTCTTTTCTTTCCTAGGATCTTTTCCCCAAACATGTACATATGTATATATAATTATACATATATATATATACAAATATATATATATACATACACATATGTATCTGTGCTGTTCCATTGGGATGAATGTCTCCAATGCATGCGAATACTGACAGAGACAATTTGTTTTTTTTTTTTAATGGGTCCACAGCGCTGATCCAAAAATGTTTTTTTTGTCACTTCTTGGGCCGTCGGAGGTTGCTATTTGTGCTGTCAGGATACTCAGACTATTAGCCAGATGATTAGCCATTATTACCCTCTGGTAAACATACAAAAAAGCTATTAAACATGGCCATTTCTAGTTGATTTGCCCATAAAAAATGTGATTTTCCATAGTTATGTAAACGTTTACCAGAGGGTATCCATTGTTCGCCAATATTAACCATTAAAATCAGACACCTTTCAATTGCATGTTGATCTGATCTTCCGTCATTTTTCCAGGGCCTCAACCGACCGGACCTTCCGCGGAAAGGGCTCCGTTCAGCAGGCGTTGAAGTGGGGCTCCAAGGTAAGTTGGTTTACAACTAGAATATGAAAATATAGGGCAATATAGGGGTCCGCAAAAAGATAGAAATGTGTTTCCAGAATGTTGTACATGATGTTTCCTCCATTTTTTTCAGGCTTCAACGTTTCTATCTATTTGCGGGTTCATACAAGTGGGGTTTATGGTGGATATAGCTATAGTTGGAAGGGGTTACAAACCAACTTATATCTGGGATGCACCACATTGTAGCCGGCAGTGGGGTGAGGTCAACCCCTGTGAGTTACGTGTCAACCCTGGTTGATCAATTAGCTCGGCAACCCACAAAGTGATATCCGGTCTATCTATCCCAGAAGAAACCGTTCAGGAGTGTACCATAGATTATGGCCAGTAAGGGACGCACCAAAATCACCTTATTTCATTTCTGTGATTTTATCGTTTTTTTAAAATCAACCACATGTATACATTGTCATACCAGTATTGGAGGTTTGTTGGTTCATTCGTCTCTTGTCAGTTTTTGACACTGGCCTCAGAAAGTTCTTATTCACTGGCGCAAAGCCAAATGAGTTGGCTCAAAATTTGCTGCTATTGGGGCAGCCCCTCTGGTAATTTGTTACATAGCTATTGAAAATGGTGATTTATAGTGGATTTTCCCATTGATAGCATGGTGGATCTTTCCATAGCTATGTAAACGTTTACCAGGCCGGGTACTCAAATGGAAACATCGTTCGTTGTGATTTCCATCCAACACTGGCGAAAAAAGTGATGTCGACTCATCGCCGGGATTAGAATCCCTCGAAATTTGATGTTCATCTTCCAGTCAGGCCTATTTTTCAGGCGTAAAAGAATATCCCCACAACTTATATGGCCTTAAAAATATGGTACGTAAACACGTACCACAAATTGAATCGGATCCTGAAGATTGAACAGATTGAACAGTGGGGTCGTTTGGGATGCCATTCTACCTGTGGATGGTTGCAAAATCCTGCACCACCTTGGATGGTTGCAACCCTATAAATAGTGTGACTAACCACCTATCAACTGGTGATTTGGATTTCGCAACCATCCACCCTATGGTTAGGTCCACCGAAAACAGCTGTGTCTTTTCCGCAGTTGGAATGCCATCCCAAAAGTCCAGACATTCGGAAACTGGAGTGTGAGAAAAACTCTGGAATTGGAATGATCTGAAGTGACTTTCACAGTCTTTCAAGGAGGTGGCAGCAGTTTTTGAGTGTAGCAACCACCAAAGAGGTTATTTTAGCTTCAATTTACCACTATATAGGAAGATATTTGGCAACTTTTCGATCCCAATACAGATATCCAGAAGGAGATATTCCAATGTTTTCTCTCATTTTTTCCTGTTTTTTTGGATGCCGCCTTGTCAACGTGTCAACTTGTCAACGTGTCAGCTGGGAAGGAGCCAGATTTCGTGAAGTGCCTCGAGGGTCTTGTCAAATTCCAGGTGTCTGCTGAAAGTTTTTTGGAGTCGTTACGGCACGGACGATTCCTGCTGCATTTCAGGGATTTAACCGAATTTTTCACCGAATTCAAGATGGAGAATTGAAGGATCAAACAGAGGGATATTTAACAATCAAATAAGGATCTAACGAACAAGACATGAATATTTCGCACGTGGATTTGGTGCGGACACAATGGGAGCATTGGGATTTGATCAACCCAACGCGGACAAAAAACACTAGAATGGTGGTGTAATCGTCGAATATCACCAACAATATGGGGTATTTGTTCGCCCATAAAACTTACCATTTTGGGTTTTCTTGCGATATTTATGGGAATATATCGATGGGATAGGTAATATCTCATCCACAAATTGATATTTGGTTGTAGCCAAAATGTGGGTATACCAAGAAAATATTGCAGCTTTACAGGGAAGATAATGATAACCAGGTTGATTTTAAGGGTACGCCATTCTGAGACAAAATCAATACTGTATTCCTGCTAAAGTTAAGAGAACCTGCTCCCAGTTCTAATTGGGTTCGAAAGGTTATCATATTTCTTTCGCAATTTAAGCATTTGAAACCCAGTGATTAGTTGCAAGCCTGTCCGAGGTGGTTATGGTTTTGGGTTCAAACACTTGCAACAATCATTTTCACAACAAGAGTAGAATGTGAAGGAAGTGATAGAAATGGGATAGACAGCTCATCTATGGTGATTTAAAGTCTGCGAATGGCATTTCCTTTCGCAAAAAATAGGAGGATGCTTTGAGAATTGCCGGATCTCAGGGCGCTCAATCAACGAGAGCCATAGTTCGCCCTGGCTTTGGTATGGCCATGTTGGGAGTATATATATACAGTATATATAAATAATCACGTAAGTATATAGTGATATGTGTGTATATATATTATCCAATTCAACGAGTCATAAACATCTAAAGCACATTTAATGCGGGTTCCCAATTTCAAGACGGCCAACAATCACTCCGCTCACCGTGTTGCTGGGGTATGCTGGATTTGTGGACCTTTGGCTCAACAGTTTTGTCCGCTGAGCCCATTTAGAGCTGATTCCCGATGCCGGGGAACCCAAACTGTCTGCCAGTAATAATGGGATATATGGAATCTCAATGGATCTATAGTTTTGTGGAGAATGGATTAGGGATGACATGCTGTTGAGTTTTTTTTGGATGCACAATGGAATTTTTGATGGGTGAAGATTATATATATGGGTGAAGCTAATATATATATATAATTAATCGACACACTGATACTTTGGTGTGTTTGAAGATGGGTTACCCTCTGGTAAACTAACGTAGCTATTGAAAATTGCCATTTATAGTGGATTTTCCCATTAAAAATGGTGATTTTCCATAGCTATGTTAGTTTACCAGAGGGTATGTTAACGATTTTGTTGCAGAAAATGATGAAGCGAACAGAACGGGATTTTGGGGTCTCCATCATTTTCAGGTCGGCTTTCCCCCGAAATGGCTGCTAGTGAAGCCACAAAAACTGGTTGGTGGTGACTGGAACATGAATGGATTATGACTTTCCATCGGGAATTTCATCATCCCAACTGACTCATATTTTTCAGAGGGGTAGGTGGCTCAACCACCAACCAGATAGACCAAGACTTAGGGGTTTGATCATTTGAGCTTTAGCCCTTAAAACTGCCTGTTTCGGGGTGCGATACTTCGACACAAGGTGAATTCATTCCACACCCCAAGAACCCGTTGGAGGCTTCCGCACCACGACATCTGGCAGGGTCTGGGGTGCCTTTTTGGACGAAACCGAAATGGGTCGTTTGTGCAGTACACTACCCTCTGGTAACATACAAAAAACCATGGAAAATCACCATGTTTAATGGGAAAATCCACTATAAATGGTCATTTTCAATAGCTATGTTAAATTACCAGAGGGTATCTTGAATCATCCATTTTGTTGAGATGGGTTGATCATTTTGACCCATATCCACATGAAACTAGCTGAAACTCGTCAGTTTTTTGGTCAAAAGATCCCCGGACAGTTTTTTGGTCAAAAGATTTCGGCCCAACAAAAACTGGCTCTACGAGACTCGGGGCCGTTTGATGTTGAGGTCGCAGACATTGAGGAAGGGTGCATGGAAACCAGATGCTGTAACACGGCAATATGACCCGCGTGGGTAATGGGTCTGTTGGAAAATGGAGTGGATACCCTCCATGGCAAATTTTTCTAACATGAAGATCAACTATGGGATTTTTGGGGTACCGGGTAGACTAGGGTAGCCTATCTTCAAACAAGCCCCAATCGATTGAGTTGCCATGCACTTAGTTTTTTTGTCGAAAGATGGGTAAACACTGCGTATCACATGAAAAGTTGCCAAAGAAAACGTCGGCGTTTTTTTCAGGTGGCCCAACTTTGAACCATCTGTGTCCAACGTCACTGGAATGAACTTTTGAGGTGATCTATTTACGGTATCCACCAAATAGGCTGGTTTGAGCCCAATCATGACCATAGTGCCCAACTGATTGGAGTTGTGGGGCGATGTGGTATTCGAATCTGCTCGCATGTGAGCAACAAACATGTGGCTGATAAATGATGGATACATGATGATACATGCAGTCAATTCCCCTTTTTTGAGATGCCCCCAACACGAAATTCCGTAACGAATAGATCCAATATACTAAAGGAGAGGTTTCGTTTAGGGGGTAGAGACTATTTGGGGGATTCATCTGGTTTTTTCGGAAGTGAAAATGAGACCTGCGACCGCTTAAGTTTTCCGCTTGTATTCCTAGCCGCCGCTTGGCTCAGCACGCTCAGCACGCCCACACGATTCGACGATGGCGGGCAGCGAAAGCAGCAGCGGCACCGGCAGCAGCACGAAGAAGCCGTGGTTGTCGAAACAAGCATCCAGGAGGGATGCTCGCGAAGCTCTATACGGTCTATCAACAAGTTGAGGTATTGTGGGGTTTGCCTGAATATGGGGAATAGCCTCCAAAGTGGTCCTTTTTGTAGGGAAACTGATGATAAATCACTGGTAAATTATAGTTAAAATGGATATATTTATCGAAATAAAATGATATATATATATATATATTGCTATTCACATTCGGGTAAACTGTAGTTAAGTTACAATCAAGAGATGATAAGAGGGTAACGAGATAGAACAAACATTAACAAACAATATGATATTTGGCAGTACCTCACAAAGTGGTAGAAAAAACACCAAAATGATGGATTGGGGTGAATTTACCACCCTTTGGGAAACGTGTTTTAAAATCAAAATTCGATCTTTTTGGGGGTTGTTATACATACTGTACCTAGCTAGGAGATGGAACATTCATGATTTTGAAAACTGTGGTAAATCCAATGAATTTGATGCCTTGTCAGGGCCGAAGCTTTTAGTACCCCCAAGCATTGTAGGAGGAAATGTTCATTTCGACTGCGCAGGCTCTTGTGAGATGTCCATGTGCGTTTCCGACTGCGCAGGCTCGCACAAAGTCTGCACCGCGGCGCGGTTCTCAAGCTCTTGGCCTGGGGCATTTTCATTATAAGTTCTCTCATAAGCGGGCTCTTGTAGAGATCCTGCTAAATTCCTCTCTAAGAGGTCCTTGCATGATCCTGTGCCGGTCCTCAACAGAAGATCTTGTGGAGATCCTGGTGAGATCCTGTTTAAGAGGTCCTTGGATGAAGATCTTGCAGGTGCCATGTCTTTTTCCTGCTGCTGCAGTTGCGATCATGCCTAACCTCATTTGCTACTGTTTCATAGCTGCTGTTGCTTGTATCTGGTACATTGACTTCCTACCCCCCACACTGTTTGGGGTCTCTTGCCGGTGTAATTTTTGAATGGCAATTCTTGGGTATCCCCCCATTATCCACATTCGCCCTATTGAAAGATGAATATGGAGATGATAAACTGGTGAAAGATCCATCTGATCTCACGGTGGTCGACCAAGGTGAAATCAATGATGGTAAGCAATAGCAGCGGCCCCAAATTTGGCAAGATTTTCGCGGACAGCCATGTGCATATATGCATGTTGTAAGCTATCTACACACATACATACATGCATGCATGCATGCATGCATGCATGCATGCATGCATACATACATACATACATAGATACATACATACATACATACATACATATCTATATCACAGATCTATATTTTTTGTACTTGCATTTGCCTACATATGCCAACAAATAGCTTCCTAATACGCACGCATACAGAACACATCCACATGAAATGTACGTGTATACACACATTTAGACACATAAACATATATACATATATACATACATACATATATACATATATACATATGTACATATATACATATATACATATATACATGTATACATATATACATATATAATCATACATACACACACATATACATTTATACATACTTAGAAAATTATGCATACCCTTAGTATCTATGCCTATGCAAAAATAAATGTATATGCAAAAATGCCTTTATATAAATCCAACATTTACACATAACTGCATGCACATGATTGTTTATGCATAGGTACATGTATATGCAAAACGGCATTTATATGCATAAGTTCTTGCATATGCATGGATTTATGTATATGCATATTTACATTTACATGCACTAATGTGTGTGTGTATGATTTTACATGCATAAAAACATGTATATGCATAACTGCATTTGTATGATATGCAAAAGTATTTGTATATATGCATAGATTCATGCATATGCACGAATACATGTGTGTAGATGCACACATACATCCATACATCCATACATCCATAGATGCATGTGTTTAAGTATTTGTATTCATATGTGCATGTTTCTTTCCGCAGGTATATTTTACTTACATATGTATATGTGAATGTCCATGTATATGTAAACGTACTGTATATGTACATGTATATGTATATACATGTATCTGTACACGTATATGTGAATAGAAAAGGGGTATGTGAAGGTATTTGGATATGTATATTTATGTGTATGTGTATGTGTATAGGTCACTTAGATACCGATATGTTTATCTACTGATATATGTATGTATATAGCAGTATATATGAATATGTCATATGCCTATGTATTCGTATATGTAAGGATCTGTGTCGATGTATGCGCATATGAAAAATGCATATGTGTATGTGTACGTATATGCATCTGTATTATTGTCTCAAGCGCTATTGTATAATTGTATTATTGTATTACTTCATTATTGTATTATTGTATGATTTGTATGGATGTATTATTGCATTTTGTAGTATATACCACTTATTTTGTACTCTGTATGGTGCATCATGCACTATGCATCATGCACTATGCATCATGCACTATGCATCATGCACTATGCATCTTGCATTCTGTGTCTGTATTTGTGCATGTAACTGTACACACACACATATATATATATTTGTATGTAGATGACTATGAATATGCACATGCATTCACATACACCAATACTGGAATCATTGGGCCATGTTGGTGATTTCCAGTGGTTTGTGCCAGGAGCTACGGAGATTCGGACCATGGCAAGACGTGCCTTGATACATTCGAAAGCAGGGTGTTGCAGCGATGAAGAAGCAGTTGCAGTTGCGCAATGGCTGATCGTTTGCTGGGGATAAGGCTATTTTGGTAGGGTTTCTTCACTTAATCCTCCCACTCTCTAACAAATTTCCACACCAGAGTTGGCGCTGAAATGGCAAGACCTTGAGGCATAATGTGCAAGGAATTGTCGATGTTTGAGGCTAGTCATCCATATCTCAGCAATCTCCAATCTCCCATTCACCACAGCTCAAAGGTGCCTGGTGCAAAATCATAGCTGAAGCATCCATTTCTGGACTCCAAAGCATGGCTATTTTTGGTTGCCATTTTGTTGACCATAGGTGGCATAGGGTACCTCAAAATGGAATCAACGTCAACACAGCTACCTAGCGTCCGCTGCGTTCCGATGGAGCTGGCAGCGAAAATGTCAGCGCTCGAGTCATTTGATGGGGTTTTAATAGAATTTTACTATCAGCTAAAGAGTTTTGAGTTTCAAAAAGTATGGGGATATGTACATGATAAATGATTGGTTATGAAGTAGGGGCTTATTCATCTACCTGGTCTAGTGGGGAGAACTACGACACAACTGTTTGGGAATATTTAGAACCCTGTACGCTGGGATGGGATGGTATTTCTTATGGCTCCTGGAAAGAACGGGTGATGAAGATCGGGATGCATGTTTTTTGGACCTGGGCACCCTTTTTTTGGACCTGTACATGTTTTTTGGACCTAACCAGAATTTTTTTTGGACCTAGGGTCACAAAAAATGTGGGGGACTTGCCTGTGTGTTTTCCGGACCCTGTGGGAATATTTTTTGTGGACCTGCATGTATTTGTTCTGGACCCACGGATTTTTTTTTCGACAGCCAAATTAATTGTTTCTGAGCTCGGTCTCTGTTTTTTGGACCCGTGCACCTGCTTCGTGGACCTTGCCTCCATAGGGTGGGGGGCACAGGTGGGGGGGACTTTAGGAGGCCACGGTGGAACCAGATATAAAACCAAATGAATGCAGGAAGTTGGTCAGGGGCACCGGGAATATTGACGCAACATGAATGCAGCGCAGGAAGTTGTTGAGGGGCACCGGGGAGGAAGCTTAGAGATTAAAACAAAAATGAACGGAAGAAGTCATGGGGAGGCGACGGGGGATTAGATATTGAAACTTAATGAATGCAAGAAGTTTACGAAGTTTGATGAGAGGCACAGGGGGGTAAGGTAGATATTGAAACCAGGTGAGCGCAAGAAGTTGTTGAGAGACAAGGGGGGAAGCTTAGACTTTGAAACCAAGTTGAGATGCATGCAAAAAGTTGTTAAGAGGCCAGAGGTGAAGTCTTGAGACCACGCGAATGAATGCAGGAAATTGGTGAGAGGCACAAGGGGGGAAAGTTTAGATATTGAAGCCAGGTGAATGCTTCCAAGTGGGGCACAGAGGTGTGAAGAGTAGAAATTGAGAAGAAGAGGGCAGAATGGTAAGGAGGTGGGAAACCCAATGTGTCACAAGGAGATGGGCGCTGCACTCCGTGGAGAGTATAGATATTGAAGCCCAATGAATGCAGGAAGTTAAAGAAGTTTGATGAGATGCACCAGGGGGGAAAGTTAGATATTAAAACCAGATGAGCGCTAGAAG